AAAGCCCATTTATCAATAATAAAAAATACCAATAGTGCCATAACTATTTATAATTATTCCTCTCCATCCAAAGGTTGTTAAGAAGAGAACACTTTCAGCGATAGGATCGCCCATTGTTTACTCACTGTGATCATTTCTTGTAATTGTTTATTTTCATAATATATTTACAATTGTAATTTTTTGGAGGAAACAATAAAGAGTATCTATCTATCTATGTAGGTATATACTATACATATCATACAAGCTCCACATAGTATAGAAATTGCTACATCAAGTTGAGCGCTATGTATCAGCTTTTAATTGTCCACTGTTGAACATAAATATCCTCCTTGGGGGATTTTATCAGTAGTTGCCACGCTCAGCAGGTGGTTTGTTTACCGCAATTAGACTTTAGAGATGTTTTAAGAAGGACGCTGCTGCCTATCCTTCGCCCTCTTTAGGCATCTATATGCTTCAGTGTTCGCTTGTCATCAGACGGGCTATTTGCTAAAATTACAAGTACAAACAAAGAGTGGGAGGGGAAGGGATTGTTAGCAATGGAGTTTGACAGCTCCATTGCTAGCAATATACCCTATCGGGCCGACCTCCACGTGGTTCCCCCTGGAAATCATCGTGAACAATTCTTGTCGAATTCGTCACGATGGGCTAACTGACCTGTTTCATCTTCACCTATCATCCTTCACTGGTGCCCCGCCGGTGTATACTGATAGCGCGGGTGGGATTACCATTCCATTATCACCCATTTAAAAAAAAAGTACAAACAAAGAAGTACTTAATTATGTATATATTTTTCATTATGGCACTACCTTATAAAATGGGCGTAAATAATTGATTATTCTGAAATGTAATACGAATAGGTAACAATGGACATATGTGTTTGATCATGGATTGAGTTGGATTGAGAGTTTAATTATGGGATGAGAATATTACTGTAATCCCTAGAAATCTCTGATGTCTCGTCTCGTCAGGAATTACAACAGTCAAGATATTATGCTCTACCTACTACCTACCTACCTACTACCTCTAAACCTCTGTTAAGTCCTGCTACTTCTCCATTTAAGATTTATTTTTCTGTGTTTTCCCTTCATTTTCCATTTTCATACTATCTTGTTGTATGTGTGCTATTATGTGTATGTTTGTTTATAAATATGTATATATGTTTGTATATATTAGTATATAATAGTGTACCACCTACCCTTTGTCGTTTTTCTTTTCTCAATGTCATCTACCCAAAGCTTGTCTGGAAGTGATTGCTTGGCAATAAGACTGCCTTATGTATCACTTAACATTAAAATTAACTATATCTATTATTTTATAAACGGTGCAATAAAGTGCAATAAATATTATACTCATTCATTAGCCTATATAACAATAGGTTGTAGATATTTGAAGAACATTTGACTTTAACATGGATGTGATCCCATAAAAATAAATCAACTCGTTTCTAAGCTTGTAAACTAGAATGTAACACTCAAATAAACAAGCGAGCTTGTTTCAAATACGGACAAATATTGTGAATTAGGTCAGATGGTAATATATTTAACTAAAGTTTAGTGAGCGTCGGAGGCGCGCCGCCGCACCGCCGCACCGCCGCGCCGCTACGTGGAACTAGGAGTGACAAGATTGTGAACAGTGGTTGTGAACAGTTATGTAGGTGCTGTAGGCTGAGCCGCTCATATTCGTTAGGCGTCAATTTAAATAATTAAACGAAGGACGCGCTGCAACTGCGCGCCATCAACGCCGCAATGGCTCCGTCGGGGCAGGCGGGAGGGATTGTTATCAATGGAGTTTGACAGCCCCACTGCTGGCAATATACGCTATCGGGTCGACCTCCACGTGGTTCTTTCTGGAAACCATCGTGAACAATTCTTGATGAATTCGTCACGATGGGCTAACTGACCTGCTTCATTCTCACCTATCATTCTTCACTGATGCCCCACCGGTGTATACCGATAGCACGCGTTACCATTCCATTATCACCCATTAAAAAAATGTATTTCCGTCGGCCATCGCCTGCTTTATTCATGTTTTCCTATTTACTATTTACAATCTGTTCGGAATTATGCTTCCGAACAGCTCAGCGTAGTCCATTCGTCTGTTTAAGTATCATAAAGTAAAAAGCAACCCAATATTTTTTATGTACTTCATCATTGATACAGGGCCTTTAATACCATCGATACTGATCTAGGGGAGGAGGGCAAGTCGGACGATCGATACAGATCGATACAGTCGAAATACCGTAAGCAAAACAAAGAACGGCAAATCCACTAATATTTTAATATAAAAAAGTATATTTGGGAACTATCATTATCATATTAGCCTTTAACTGTCCACTGCTGGACATTGGCCTATCCTTAGGGGGGTTTTGTTAGTAGTCGCCACGCTAGGCAGGCGGATTGGCAACCGCAGTTAGGCTTTGGAAATGTTTTAAGAGGGACGCTGCTGCCCATCGATCGCCCTTCATTACTCGCCTCTTACGACAATCATCATCTTCTTCCTACCCTTATCCCAATTATTATTCGGAGACAGTTTTCCTCTTTCATTCTTCTCGTACCCACATTATAAAAAAATTCGCCTTATAATATTACGACCGGCCGCCTGCTTGACGTCAATCCTCTTTGGGAATGCACTTGTTGGTGATTTCCGCCATCTACGGTATGGAGGAACGGATTGATGAAAAACAGGAATGGAACGTTGGAAATGCGTAAAGGAGAATGATAAATAAGAGATTTATGTGGGAAATGAAAGGCGGGATAAATATTTGGGAATAATTAGTTATTATTATTAATTACCCAATTATTCGGAAATCAAATTCACAAGTTTCCAAATATTTAAAAAATCAGCAACATTCAATCAGATATTTTTCGCCACAAGTTTATGTTAATTATTTATAAATACCAGAGGGAGACTTTGTAAAAAAGTCGTTTGCTTTGGTATCTCTGTCCCATTCTTTTTTTTTATACAACTTAGAATGGCAAACAAGCTGACGGCCCACCTGTTGGAAAGTGGTAACCGTCGCCTATAGACATAGCAGTGACATAACAGATTGTACTATTTCGTCCATGATACCTCCCATACATCGCCATTTCTAAGGACTCAGGTGTTATATCTCTGTACCCTACAAATTCACTGACATATCCCACCCTTCGTTTGAAGGGTTAGATATGTCAGTGTCACGGTTGAAACACGAATGGGACAGAGGTACTCAAGCAATCGACTTTTGTACAAAGTCTCCCTCTCCCTCATTCGTGTTTCTACCGTAAAGCAGTTGTGTTTGCATGGCTGTGTTTCGGTTTGAAGGATGGGATATGGCTCATATGGCGTGAATTTACAGGGTACAGAGGTACAACACCTAACTCCTCAGGAATGGCAACGCATGGGGGGTATCATGGGCGAAACAGTGTACTCTGTTATGTACATGGTACTGCTCATGTCTATAGGCGACGGTTACCGCTTTCCATCAGATGGACCGTCAGCTTGTTTGTCATTCTAAGTTGTATAAAAAAAAAATCTTCTACTCTAGCTGTAGTAGTTTACAATACTGTTGTTAATTGTACCTGTGTACGAGTACAAGTGTGTGGATGTCTGTGTTCCATAGCTACATATACTGTCTCCTAATATCCTATTACAACTTCAAACAATCCTCACCTTCATGTTGATATTTCCAAACAATATAACATACAACACAAAGATATACAGTTATCAGTGTTTTCAGGTTAATAACTTATTTGGTAATTATTTATTGCATCACTATATAGCAATTTTTCCGCAGCAATCTCTTATAATCCAAACTGATATTATAAAGAGAAAATATTTGTTATTTTTCTTCGTTCGTAACGAATGAAGTCAATACTTAACAGTATTATTAAAAATTGTTTCACATATAGAAAGCTTCGTTGTCAATGAGTAATTGTTTATTTAAAAAACAAATCGTTGAAAGCCAGGGCGGGTCGGTTAGTTTTTGATATTTTAAAATTGTATATAAAATTGTTATTTTTTCAATGCGACCGCCTTGTTTACGACCAGCCTGCTATTCAGGTGCTGACGTCACTTTAACGGCAACTGATCGCCGTGCCGCCGCCGTAGCTGTGATTACATATCGTCACAACTGATGTTAACGACTCCGCAGTACTCGCTGCCACCTACCGATACAATATTAAGGAATTGTCGCTTTACAGCATTCCGAGCGCGCCGGAAGAACCTCCGTCCGTAGCCGCACTGCACTATAATACTACCTCGTATAAGTAATGCCAGCTATAGTGCCAACAATGGCCGCCATTATGCACTAACTTAGAAAGTCTACATTGTCTACTCTCTAGGCCTGGTTTTAGAGCGTTAGATTTCAGTCAGGATTGGGAAAGGGCAAAGAGTGCGGTGCGAGGAGTGCGGGGCGCGGGCGCGGGCGCGGGCCGTGGTATTCGTGCATAGCTTTCGGCGCGCGCGAGCTTACAAATAAATAAACCAGTTTCCGTCCCCCTCCCCCTACACCGCGCGTTTCCTTCTATCTATATCGGCCCCCTCCCTGCTGCGCCCGCGCAGCCTCCGTCCGTATCACGTACAATTCATTGGAAGCACAAAATTTACTCTTAACCCTTTGAAGCTGATGTTTTTATCAAAGTACTTCGAATTTAAGCGAAAAAAAAACAACGATTCTTAGTTTTAATTGTACTCTAGTTTCATTCATGCTGTCGTACAATCATTCCTGTACCGACGAGTATGTTTTCAATGATTCATGTGGAGGCGACGTAGCGCTGACGTAGGTATTTCCGTTGCAACAATTTTCAGCATCTTCATTTGTAGTTGTTTGGGAACCTACTTTTGCTGTTTGTTTGTATGGTTGCTTGTAGATACATAGACACAGGTCTTGTAGTTGATTTGAGGTCGACTGTCGAATGATCTGGGCTCCGCTTCTAGTCCAAAGTAGGTGTCGTGGCGCGAGATGTGTGCGGGTGGCGGGCGGAGCGCTGCCGCTGCCGGTGCGCCCGCGCAGCGCGGTGCGGGGCGGGGCGACGGGCCCCGGGCGGCAGTACGCGGATACACGCGAGCGAGACAGGTCGCCGCTGTCGGCTCGGAGCGGCGCGGCCGCGGAGTGTGATGAGAGCGCGCCGCCCGCCATGGCCACGCTCGGCCTTTCCAAGGTGTTCATCCTCGACAAATACTTCACGGAGCTGCAAAAGTTTTGGGAAACGGAGAAGAAGCTGCAAGGTGAGCGAGCTTGCCGCCCCGCGTCCCGCGTCCCGCGCCCCCCGCCTGCCCTGAGCCCTGCGAGCGCGAGCTTACGTTTACCGCCCGGCTCGGGCGCTCGCTCGGACTGTGTGATCAATGTTATTTGTTGTCGTGCTCCTCCAGAACCTCCACCTGTGCGTGTATTTGACGTCATTCACCCGTTTGAACGTAATCCTGCTCGAAGGACCAATACTATAACGACAGTGGGTCGACTCATTAGCTCTAGTTGAGTTTTATTCAATTAATCAATAGTGTGAAGCGTGATAGCTCACTGGAAAATGTTTTGTTTTCTGCGTACATAATCCGTGCTTTATACAGTACGCTTGTCAAGTAGGTGCTTAATGAAAAATACTTCTCTGTTAGAGTAAAATATTTTGTAAAGCATCAACAACAATAATTTCAATTAGATGTCGTGTTGTGATATTGTTTTATTGTGAAAGATGCATTGTTGAGTATTTATGCGATGCAGTGTGGTGAGCGACGTACTACAAGTTACACCCATATACTTACTGTATATGTTTAGTTATTGCATACATAATCATGTCGTTCGTATAGAAGCAACGTTTATTTGTGTATGTCGACCGACTGGTTGCATACACCCATATGACCCCGCGAGGTTATCGAACGATGCAAATTCAATGCACACATACATATGTTATAAAATTACGCAAAATGCATCGGAGGCTGCGGCGGTCGCAGCTAACGGCTCGTAATAGATAGTGGTCGGGGGGGGGGGGGGGGTCTCACGAGTCGCGCACGGACGGATGGACGCACAGGTAGCACCGCAGCGCGCACATGGGGCGGGATACACTTGCCACCTCACGGCTCCAATCCACACTAAATTCCAAACGTTTTCCTTTAGTGATTTACCTTATTTATTAATTAGAAGTTAAATCTGTGCCGCATCAGCATTTTGTAAATGAAATTAAAAGATAAGACTCCCAGTCAAAACTAAATGTGAAACGGAAAAATACTAAGACGATACGAGAAAAAAGGAAGAAGGTGACATTTATCCTTGTCCTTTAAAGATCTGTCAAATAAAAATGCGAAGGTCTCTACTTAACAGGTCGTAATGTATTTTTTGCTGTCAAGTTGCAGATAATTTCATTCCACGTTTGTTATTATATATTTCTAGTAAACATATTTGTCTCTGTAATATAATCTCCACTAATTTTGCATATCAGTAAATGTTTCCCTTTTATGCTCCCGACCCCAAGTGACGGACAGTATGTAATCTGTAGCGATAGTTCTAGAAGCATCAAGTTTTACAGAGGAATTCAATGTCGCCAAGTTCGCTTGACTTCTCAATAGAATATATAAACTATACTCTATGCAGTGGTACTGTAATTTCTTATATTTATAATAACTATCGTGTAGATACTAGGTAGGTACTTTCTCCCACGCACAACCACTCTTTGGAATCAACTTCAAACAGCAGTAACTACTACTAGTACTTCAAGAAAAGAGCATATTCCTTTTTAAAAGGCCGGCAGCACACCTGCAATGCCGTTGGTGTTGTGGGTGATCATGGGCGGCGGTAGTCACTTACCATTAGGTGAGCCGCATGCTCGTTTGTCCCCTGAGTTGTAAAAAAAAAAAGAGTTACATTGTTATGAACAAATGCAATGTTTATAGTGAAAATTATACGAAATCTTACTGTACATAATTTTTATCAAGACCTCCAGCACAGCTTATACCAATTCGAGACAATGACGTATAAAAAACTTTTTATAATATATTTGACGACATTGATCTAATTTCAGTTGATTATCGCAAGCCTTATGACAAGATGTAACCGACTCTAAGTGCACATACTAACCTGTGGAATTTACTATATAAGTACGTATTATATTACAGTCGTTCTTCATGCTCGGACGGGCGTGAAATTTTACCAGAAGTAGGTAAATCGGAAACTGGCTACTTTGACACAAAAATGAATATTTGTCGCCCTTTATAATGTATAAATAACAATATTAACTCCTATCGAACTCATTTTGCCCGGCTGGTAGCCCCTAGATATAGCCCTCTCCTTAAATGTTTATCTTGATTTAGTATTTTTTTCTTAAGCTTCTCAGTTGAAGTCATTCGTGAGATAAGACACCAGCGTGATAGAGTGATCTCATTATACCGGCCACTCAACAGTCTAATGGAGAGTATTCTCGCAATGCCCTGAACCAATGTCAAGATGAAGACATATTGCAAAAACCTCATCCGCTAAGGAGAACTTTATTAACAATCCACCATGACCACTCTGTCAAGAATGAATAACTGCTAAAGAAAAAGCTTCTTATTCCTTATATCGGCAGCCATCGTCAACAGACTTTGTAGGGCATTCTGATAAAAACAGAGATTTCTCTACAATTTTTGTATTATTTAATTTTATTACTAGATAACTTTATTGAGATGTCATTAAAAAAGTATTAGATCCTCCAGAAGTCTGTTCAATATAAGAGGGATGAAATCCTTGTCAATAGGAACTTTAATATCTCAAGTTCCTGCACGATATCTAAAATATTTTTAGATATCTTTTGAAGCGCTTTGAAACAAGATCATTTCCGGCGCATTGATCTTGTTTCAAAGCGAATATCCCAATCAGTTTTCTAATCTTTATCTCCAAAAATATGAGTCACAGATTGTTCCCTGCTTGAGGTGATATCAAACATTATCTTTGCTATATTATTTTTCTCGACCGCTTTTTCTGCTATTTCTTTTTAGTCGGCCATATGGAGTTGTCTTGAATACGCATTGTTATTATCTAAGGTTATTATAGTAATATATAATAATAATATTTATTTATTCAGACAACATAATGCCCATTTTGTTAGTAATAATTTACTTAACCTATGTTAGTAAATGAGCGGTCGTGACGCTCTTGCATTGGTCACCTGTCCCACCCAATATTTTAGGATGGGACAGTCCATTTTACCGGCAATTGTCTTCAGGACACTGTTTGAGCTAAGACGCACCCTGTCCAAGCGAAACAATTAATTTGCGCCGTGACATATTAGATGACATAATTCGCTATCGTCGTAATCCAATTATAATCGATCGATTATTTAGAAAATTAATTAAAGAAAAAACAAATACAAACTATAAGCTTCTAAATAAATGAGGACTGAGCATTTAATTTCAGAGATGGAAGGAGTTTAATGTTAATAAAAAGGTATAACTTTATTTTTTATACAACTTAGAATGGCAAACAAACTGACGGCCCACCTGATGGAAAGTGGTAACCGTCGCCTATAGACATGAGCGGTACCGTGGACATAACAGAGTATACTGTTTCGCCCATGATACCCCCCATGCGTTGCCATTTCTGAGGACTCAGGTGTTATTCCTCTGTACCCAGTAAATTCACGCCATATCCCACCCGTCAAACTAAAACACGTCGATAACTGGCTGCTTTTACAGCAGCGCTTGGGACGAAGGCGACGATTTCGATATGAACTTGTTTTATTGTATATAGACGAAGCTGTGTTTTCTTTCGTGATAGACCCCCTGAATATTAAGATGTGCTAAGCAATACTTCGAAATTGTTACTCTCACGGTGCGAATATAATTTTCAGTTATGCGCAATGTCTGAGAGTCATATAACGCTTTTTTAAGGAGCCAGGCCGTCCTTGGTCCGTAATTTTAAATTCGGCAATAACAATACTGTTTTATCATATCGGCCTTTAACTGTCCACTGTTGAGTATAAGCCTCTCCCTTGGGAGGTTTTGCTAATAGTTGCCACGCTTGGCAGGTAGATTTGCAACCGCAGCTGCCCATAATACTTATTAATACTTACTAAATAAGATTAACTTTAACAGGCGCTCAATTAACTACCACCGGTCACCCACCTTAACCTCATCGGTTTCTAAACTATGACTACACAACGTGTTGTGGTAAGAAAAAATAATAGAGCCGACCGTGTACGCGATCAGCGGGTCTACCATGAAATGAAATTCCGAAATTTCGGACTCAATTTCGTGTTTTTGTTTATACCAAAATCGGACCAATAAATATAGTTCAACATTTCGTTCATCATACATCCGATCATAAAAGTCCAAAGGAACAATAATTTAACATTTTTAATATTTCCAAACGGCATGTATTATGTAATTTTATCATCAAATTTCTGTTTCGTTTAGCTCCGAAATTTCGGAAACATTTCATGGTAGGCCCTCTGAGCGCAGACACGGCGCGGCGCGGCGCGTGTGTGAGTGCGGGCGGCACGCGGCCGGCGGCCCGCGGCCCGCGGCCGGCATCCGGTGCAATTACCCGGCAACGCGCATACTTTTTGCTTTCGTCGCGCGTCATCTACGAATACAGCCCGTCATCTACGAATACAGCCCATCATACACGTCCAATCTGTCGATACACAAGCCACTTTTATTTTATTATACTTTAAAACACCTCTAGTCCATAATATATACATAAAAAATCGTTTCTACTAACTATTGACGCACGGCCAAAACTAATTAAGTAAAAAAGCTGATAAATGGAACATAGGTTTATGTTACAATGGAAGCTTCTGCTGAGAAAGGATTTTTGAAAATTCCAACTCAAAAGAGAAACACGCCACCATGGCGTGGTGGCGTTTATAATATACAAGGATATTTCATAGTATTTCTATGTCATATTACACATACGTGAGTTTTTTTATCAGTTGGGTCGTCAGCATCTTGCCATTCAATGTTCCATAAGTGAAAATATATATATATTAATTAAAATATTTGTTAAACTTTTGTAGATAATAATAATCCATGTTTATAATTTTTTTTATACAACTTAGAATGGCAAACAAGCTGACGGCCCACCTGATGGAAAGTGGTAACCGTCGCCTATAGACATGAGCAGTACCATGAACATAACTGAGTGTACCGTTTCGCTCATGATACCCCCCCATGCGTTGCCATTCCTGAGGACTCAGGTGTTATTCCTCTGTACCCTGTAAATTTAGTTAAAAGTTTAATTAGTTTTAATGAGTTCCGGTGAC